CAACTTTCTCTGCAATTAATTCGTCTGTTTCACTGAAAACGTTTCGACGCTCTGAGTGACCAAGAATTACCCAGGGAATGCCATTATCCAAAAGCATAGCTGGACTAATTTCACCAGTAAATGCTCCTTTAGCAACTTTGTATGTATTCTGTGCACTGACACTAACATTGTCAGGAACGATGGAAGTCACATATGTAAGATATATCGCTGGAACGCCAACTACAACCTCTATAAATTACAAAAATGTCATTCTTTCAATTAAAAACAGATGGTCCATACTAAGATGAAGACTAAAGAACTTGAATAAGAAATAGAATGAAATGATACATTATGTAATCATAGAACATCGCTATTAGATTCTTAGATGTAAATATCTGAAGGTAACTTGACAAAATTTTGGAATTTTAAATATTCATTTTATTTTATTATTTTATTTTATAGTAATATATATTTTATTAATTTTTTTATTCGCTCGATTGAATTTTACCGCGCTTGTAAATGTAATAATTTGCGATATTGAATAAAATTTTTAAATAATATAGGTGTTGATTTTTCCAATACGAGAAACGTTTTGTATAGAGTGACCACATACCAACATTAGGATTGAGTGGACCAGTTTTCAGAAACGCGATGATGTCACCGATCTCGCTCTTTGTGCCGTTCATCTTCCAATTACCGCCAACAAAGAATTTGCGTCCCATTGTTTTTCTCGTTTGTGCGCCTCGTGACAATTGATACTTGTGCAACGTGAGAGCTGCAACTAATCTTTTTTTTCGCCGAAAGCAAATCGAAGTTCGAACTCGATTCTCTGACCTACTCAAACCTATCTAATCTGACCTACTCTGACCTTCGCGCGTATACCAAGGTGAATATCCCACCCATGTAGTCCCATCCAATCATATTTTATGTATGTAACATCTTTGTGATAGAAATGTGACTGGATTCTCTTATACATACGTTTTGCAGCTATGTAAGTGTGGATGTATCTTTACAGTTTATGACCATATTGTAGAACAGGCATAAAGCCTATTCTACAATTGTGTAAACGTAATTGTGAATGCTTGTAGTTAAATGTAAAAATTTACTAATCACAGCCGAATATGAAAAGAATATTAGACTATAATTGGTCAATTTTTACTGATTACAATCATTTACAACTACGCTTACGCAATTGTAGAATAGGCTTAGCCCGATTTATAATTACGTAGTTATAGTTGTAACAATTGATCAATCACATTTGAATACGAGAAGAATATTCAACTGTGATTGATAAATTGTTATAACTATTGTTATAACCATTTACAATTGTTATAACCATTTGCAACTACTTATGCAATTGTAGAATATCTTAAAGTCTGTTCTACAATAGTCATAATCCGTTAGAAATTAACCAATCATAGTCAATTATTTTTGTCATATTCAATTGTGATTGGCCAATTTCTTACGATTTGCGTCCCTATTGTAAAGCAGGCCTTAAGATTTTTTTATTACCGGCTTCATTGTAAAACCTCCATAAAGTATATGATCTAAAGTTTATTTCAAGATTCCTAACCTCTCGCCTGTTGACAGTATCATGCGAATAGTGATAACTTATAAATCAAGATTTTCTTATTAGAAGGTAAGTATATACTCACGGTATTTATGATATATACGATCGATAGAATGTCGGAACGATATCTCATTACGACTCACGTATGCGTATACAGCGTTCATTAATACAATTTTTATTGACATTGTAAAATTTAAATTTTCACAACAAATGATAAAGAGTGCCAACTTCTTTCTAGGTATACATCTCGCTTGAAACTTGTAATAGCTCTGAGCACCTATGAATCTATAATTTCCAAGTCCTTTCGGAATGAATTCCAATCAGAATTATTCAATTATTCCCTAGATTTCTATTGTGTTGTCTATTGTGTTGTCTGGGGAAAATAGAATAATTCCAATCGGATTTCATTCTTAATAGGTGTTTCTTAATAGGTATCCTAATAATTCTAATGTTGATAGCGATGAGAATTCATATAGAATAGATTTATCGATAATTCAGCTCATTACTCTGTCTTTATTATGAATATAAAAAGATTTTTTTTCCAATGACAAACTTATTCAGCTCTGTCGATAAAAATCCTTCTAGATCTTCTAAAATTCGAGAGAAATTGTATACTCGTTTATTATAAATTGTATACTCGTTTATTATACTTACAACCCTTCTGTTTTAGAAAATCTCGAGAAATGGCAAGCGAGGAAGTATATAATCGAGAGGCCAATAAGAAACTGCAGCCCATATTTAAAAATCGTTCGTTTCAACAAAAATTTCGACAAACTAGCACCACTGGGAAGAAACGCACTTGGCGATCGTTGAAACAAGTCTTGGCTCAAGAACGTTCATTACCATGGCCAATGACAATAAAACATTGTATGCATCGAGTGTGACAAAATTTTTATTTCCTCTCATCATTGCATTTATACATATTAGTCGGAAAATATTTAAACCGTAACGAGACATTTTTATATAATCTGCATGTGACTAAAATTAAAATAGTTTCGCGACGTGTATTAAATATAGAGAGAGAGAGAGAGAGAGAGAGAGAGAGAGAGAGAGAGAGGGAAGGAGGGTATCGTTTTTTAGCATAAATAAATTTGTTTAAATTTCAGATAGTTCCATCAACGCACCGCCGAGCTTCAAACCTGCAAAAAAATACTCTGACATTTCTGGATTGCCAGTAAGTAATCCAGAAAAACGGTTGCTGTAAAATATTTATCAACTAGTCAACATTTAATCAAGCTTTTCCTTGATGCTGTAAGCTCATAAAGCACGGTAAATTAATTTCACGGTAAATTTAAATAAACAAATTGCATTTCATTTATAGGCACGATACACGGATCCACAAACTAAATTGTATTATGCCACCGCTGAAGAATTTGCAACGGTTCGCAGTTTACCGATGGACATAACAGCCGGATATTTGGCTTTACGCGGAGCGTCTAGTATCGTTGGTTAAATAATTTGATATTCAACATAGCCTAGCAGTTGTGACTACATCTTGACCTATATACCGTCTGGCAATGCAATTCAATCACCCAGTGATCTTACAAGAGTTTACAATTTATATTTTAAATATATAAACATCTATACATTTTGCAATATGTTGCTTTTAACATCCTCAAGTTTCCTTCTCATTCACATACACGAAGAACAGGGATACATCAATGGGGATGGAGTGTTAGACGGAACGATTTAATTGATATAGAGATAGAGTAAATAAAGTATCGATATTTTTCTCAGACAACATATTTATAACATTTTCATGTGATGCCAATTTACTTCGCAGGATTTTCCAAAATGAATAATTCCATAGATAATTTTGGTTATTTTCATTTTTTTTGTTCTTATCTTCTTTGTGTTACTTTACATAGTACATTATTAAAAAAGCTTGTCCATTATAACTTAGTATATGAACTAGAGGCTAATAGAGGGGAGAAACCCGCGGAGGACCTTCGAGAGCTGTATTACTGTTCATCGACTGTTGCCGCACTGAATCTTTAGTTTTTTTTTTTTCAGTCCAGTTTACGCGCCCCGTTTGCTACTAGCAACACGGCCATTTTAACAAATTTGCAATTGAAGATACAAACAGCAAGGCCTACTGAAATATTGCCCGTTCGTGCACTATTCTTAGGTTGCCATTTGTCTTTAATGTAATTAATTACTTGATCGATGTGATTATTTTTATCGTTTTAGTCATATAAATCGGGAAGATCTTCATCATCGCTATCAGCGTCATTGTCCCCTAATTCATCCAACTCATCAAAATTTGGCTTGCTATCGCCCGAGCCGCTTAGACCACCCATCTGTCGCATCATCTGTGAGATTGGAGAAAAAAAAAAAAATATATATATAT